GGACGGATGGTCGCGTTTTACACGCGCATGTACCGTCGACGCCAGTAGGACGTACGTAAGCTGATGGAATGATGCGTAGGTTTTCCCCCTGTTCTTGGCTCTCACGTCTGCTCACGCCAGCTACAGAGAAATGTGGCCGCTTTTGCGATGCTGGGATCAGCAGCGTTGTGCTTGAAATTGTCCCAAGCGCATCTAATTGATGATCCGATCGCCCTCACCAAAACCGCCCCTGGATATGCCCTTCCCACGTGCTCGTGTTGCGGCGCGGTTGACATCTGTGCATACGTGCTACACCGAAGCGAGCGCCATCTCTCGGCAGGCCTCGAGCGGCCAAAACGGCGGCGGAATTGCTGCTTCTTGTACGGCCAACAACGCCACGTCGAATCCCCACGCTAGCTCTGCGGACAACGCCTTCGCGCACTCTGCCCTTCTGGCCGTGATGCGCGACCCGGCGCCCTCCGTGCTGCCTCGAGCCGTGTCCGAGTACATGATCGGGAGCATGGCCGATTTTTCGGCGTCGGCTGCTGGCACTGCTCCCACCGCCACCACTGCTCTCGCTCCCGATGGTGGCGGTAGCGGCGGCGACCTTGCGGCGTCCCAGTTGCCGTTGCCGAAGGCACCGCTGGTGGGCGGTGAGGCCGCGGCTTGCCCCGCTGGCGAAGGTTCTGCTACGTCGCCCGTTCCTGCCGGCGCTTCCGCAACGGCGGCAACACCGGCGACCTCAAGGGGCGGCAGCGGTCGACAGGGAGGGGGCGCTGGCCAACTCTCAAGGAGCACCTCGCCACCCTTCGGCACCACCACTATCACCGACACCCCGCCGCCGGAGCGGCTCACGGCGGCGGCAACGGCGACGGCGGCATCGCCTCGACCGTCGTCTTCTACCGGCGCTGCTTTGTGGACGGCGCAACCGCCATTAACGGCGGCAGCGGCGGTGGCGGCCGAACCTCCACCACCATCCCAGCTGCCGACGCTTCGGTCCTTAACCGGCTCCCCGGAGGCGTCCAGGTCGCACAGCTTCTCGGCCAGCGAGCTCGACGGCGGCACGCGCGAAGGGAGCGGCACGCGCGAAGGGAGCGGCGAGATGGCTCACGGCGGGGTCGGCGACGGCGGTACCACCGGCAGCGGCGGAAGCAGCGGCGGGGTCGGGGGGACCGGCAGCCGGTCGACCCAGTCACCCGCAAGAGCCCGCCTGGTCCCGGTTATGCGGGGTTGGTCGGCCGGCGGTGTGGGCGGCGGCGGGCCACTACCGAGGGGCAACTCTAGGGGCGGCCACGGCGCTGGTGAGGGCGGCAGCATGGGATCATTGGGCTGGGGTGGCGTTGGCGGGAGCGCGTTTAACTCCGCCTGGTCCCCGTCGGTAACGATGAGCGCGCGGATAACCAGGGGCCGGCTCGCGACGTCGGCAAGGTTGGGAGTGGGGGACCCCGGGCAAACAGGCGGTGCTGCTTCTGCCGCCCGCCCTCTGGCCTTGAAGCAAGAGGAAACGATGGTGAGAAAGAAGCCTGGGGAGGAGGGGGGGGGGGCTCACTGCGTTTGTTTCGCGCCTTCTTTTACGTCGTTTGGATTATCTCTAGAGGACGATTTCTTGTCGAATACGTGGAGAGGGTCCGGGGTGGTGGTGTAGCATTGAGCGCTTTGAATCAGCAAGTGTTGGTGGTATTGAGGGGCGACGGCAGTGTTGGGGGTGGATTAGTCAAGGATTGTTCGCACACGCCCCCAAGAAGGGTTTCATCTCACGCAGGAGGGACTACGATAGGCACGTCATTCTTTCAGCCATCGATTCGATGACCCAATGCCGTACGCGTCATCGGTTATTGCAGCACTATTGGCCATTTTGTCCGTTTTTTTTCCTGCGGTTAGGTGGAGATGACACCGCTCGGACGAATACCCGGCGCCCGCGTGATCCGCTACTTGGGGAGCGTGAGCCTGCACTTCATCAAGGAAAGCTGGGCGGCATCCCGGGGGGGGGAGGTGGCGTCCTTCTTCCACGAGTTCGTCATGGAGGTAGAAAATGCTGCATCACTATCTGTTGCCGCCGCTGCTGCTGCTGTTGCTGCTGCTGCTGTGATGTTGTTGCTGTTGTTGTTGTTGTCGTTGTTATCGTCTCGACTCTTGAAAATGGGTTTGTTTCAAGTCAACGGTGTTCCGTACCGCGCCATGCCGCTGAGGTGTTGCTCACGTGTGCGTGTTTTTGTGTACCATGTCCTCCTCCTCCTCCTCCTCCACTTTCTCAAGCAGGTCTTCTATCCGCACCTTGTTGTATCACACAACGTCCCACATCGGCTTGTTTCTTCTCTTGTTGCTGTTTCCGCCCCCACCCTGCCTTGTGTGTGTGTTCAGGTACACGCTGTCCTACGCGCCAACGTGGCGGCTCTAGGGGGCAATGCTCTGCTGTCCTACAGGCTCCTACCGCAGGAGTCCGGGGGCAAGGTCTACAAGAATCAGGTGTGCATTTGGAATAAGGATTGTCGTAGCCCAGTTGGTCGCTGCTTCAGTGGGATATCCGGCGGTGTCGTCTTGACAATAGCACATCAAGCGATGGATTATCGAGCGGGGCATGAATGAATGTGGACCTGTGGACAAGTCCACATTCATGTTCATGCCCCGCTCGATAATTCATCGCTAGACATGGTTTGGCGTTTCAAACGTGCTCGAATAAGGAACCATCTGGGCGATAAATGGCACGCGGATGTGACGGCAAGATATGCATGCAAGCGCCGACTTCGTTGCCCGCGGTCCAGGTGTACAACATGATCAGCGTGAGGGGGGACGCGGTGGTGGTCGAGTACGACCGCCCGGCTATGGACGCGTCCCTCGCGAACGACCCCAGAAAGTCCCAGGTGCAAGAGGTGTCACGATTGCTGTTGTTGTTGTTGTTGTTGTTGTTGTTGTTGTTGTTGTTAAGGTGTTGTCGCCGGATGCCACTACCGTGTCATCGTTGTGGTTGTCGTGATTGTTTTGGCCGAGTGCCATTGCTGTCACGAGTACCCCGTGTGTTGGACGAACAGGGCGAGAGCAAACATGCCTTTGACCCTGTCCCCCGCGTCTGGACTGGCTTCCGCGAAACAACCGTTTTTGCTAGATTTCGACGAAAGTGCGGGACAAGGTCGAAACGAAAAAGAAAGAGCATTGCATGAACGACACTCACTCCAACGAACATAACAGGGTATATGTGGGTGACAGGTTCGCAATATTCAACCTTGACGTAAATACATATATCGCGATAAAACAAAGAAGACGCCAGTGCACTCGTCTCAAGGAGGAGAACGAACCGACCGATTTTCATCTTGACTCCACCCCTGCCAAAACAAAAAAACAGGCGACGTACGTGAAAATGGAAGGGCTACCGGAGGATGGCGTCACGAGTCCCGTCAGAGGCCTTCTCGGGGCGGTGTCTGCAGATTCGGTCGCACCGGCGCCAGCGGTGCCGGACGTCGCAACGTCTGCCCTGTCGAGAACGACCAGCGCCTCTCACGCCGCTCCGTACCGAGACGGGAGCAGCGCGTCGAGGGAATTGAGCGGAGGGTCCGCGTAGTAGGTTGACGTTCGACTTCGAGAAGTATTGGGCTTGCAGAATACCTGTGCCGCGCGTTCGGTCCGGGCCGGTGCACGTTGGCGTCGTCATACGTTCGTTTGCTAGCCTCACTCAGTGTTTTTTTTGCCGTTGACCGCAGAGTATGTATTCTAGACTCAGCGTCCGTAATTCCTTCATCGTCAATGTCCGAACGCTCTCAGCTTTCCTCCTGAATTGTATGGAGCCTACGCGGTCATACTGTAAATAAAGCAGGGGGGGCGTGTCAGCAGTTACTGGTTGAGACCCGGTTGATGTTCGGATCTCACAATGTTTTCGAACGATGTGTCGGTACGACTTCCAGTAGGTCAGACCCCCAAAAATGCCCCGAGGGTGTTATGTGTCATGGTCGTGGTCTTCTTCAGCGTGTTCTGCAGCGCTAGACACAAAATCATGTACCGCCGAAATACCCCGAACCGAAACACCCCGAACACTTACGCAATTCAATGAAACCAATATTAGCGCCATAGGCTGACCTCTCAGGCTATTCTGCTCCGCAGAAGCCCGCGAATTACCGGAGATCACCGCGTTGCGTTGTAATTCCGTCGTGGTAGTTGTCGTCGGCGTCTTGCTGTAGTTGCCATCACAATATATCATCGCATACATGAGGGTTTGCGTTGTGACTCCGTCGTAGTAGTTGTCGTCGGCGTCGTCGTCGCCGTATTGGTTGCGATTGCGCATGAATTCCGAATTCATTCCTGATGTCGTTGCTCCGCAGCTTGGACCGGTGTGTGCGTGCGTCCTTGGGGGGTTTAATCTGGGTGGACCTTGCAAGATATCCCCCTCGGGCGGGCAATTGAGACTATCCCCTTTCGTGCGCGGGTCCCCGTTCTGTCTTCCGTTGGTATTGGGGCATCCAAGGATAACGCTGTGTCCCACGCTTCTCTCCTCCCGGCGACCTCGGTGTCTTTATGTTGGTTCGTGAAGCAGCATAAGAACAAGATCCAATTCGCAACTCGACTAGTCTATGTCCCACCAGAGTAAATAGCACCTTGTTGTAGGGCCGTTTTATTCGGTCGCTATTTCGCGTCCAAGTTTCCAAATCTGTAGACCATCGAACCTCGATTTGCGGCCGAGGGAAAGATTGGAAATTTGAAACTACTGGCACGGAACATGTGGAACGAGTCCGTTCCAAACTGGAAATCTGGAAAGTCGGGAATCGGAGATTTGGAAGCAAAATCGTTGTGTAAAAGCCGGCCCTGAGTACTACTTGAGATCCCGCCTTCGTGTGGGGCTATTCAACGGTACCAAGTACCTTGCAGCACCACGAAAGTCGTACACATGCTCACCACAATACTCGTACACGTATGCTACGCGCAAGGGATCCCGGAACCTCCCGTGTAACAAAAGTCCGTACAAATCACAACATTAGAAGTAGCCATTGATCGTAAACCCGCCCGAGGCTCAACGGCTGCACCGGGTAGGTAGTCTATACTGCAAGCGCAGCCACGGCCGTGTTCACCAGCAACATCACACAATCTGCCTCTTTTCGCAAGAGCTCGTATGGAAATACTCTCGAATCACTGCTTGTCACCTAAAGTCCTCCTCGTCCAACAAAAAGGTGAACACTTCATTTGATGCGCCTCAAAGGCGGTCAACGATGGTGGATGCCTTCAATTACGAGCCCACCCGGGAGTCACAGTGTTGACAAGGATGGGAGCTAGTCACCACGAAAGAACCCGAAAATCCGTCTATCAAAAAATCGAAAATCCGTCCATCAATAGCACGAAACGTAATCTCACGGGAAAAGGGTTGCGGACCCATGAACCCGTTCTATATTTGATGATGGCTATCAATATCTCGATGGACCTCACACTACAAAGACGGGATGGAGCAGGTCGAGAAGGGGGGGGGGGACTACAGACAGGAAAATTAGGCAGGAAGGCGGGCCCGGGCATACTTTTCGCTCCCAACCTTGCGCGTTCTCCAAAAAAACTGCTGGTTGGGTGCACAGCAGTTGCTAGATTTCTCTCATCGAGGTGCCTCGAGTTCGCCCGCTCACCATCTCCCCACCAGCCCCGCGCCCACTCTCTGCTCAGGCCCCCCATCCCCTTTCTCATGTGTATCTCGCCCGCCTATTTTCTGCAAAAAGGAGCTAAGCCGCACACCAAAAACCTCACTCAGAGGGAAACGAACCAGCGCCCAAGTGTTGTCTATTTCTCAGGCACTGATTTTCCGTCTTTCCGGTTTGGTGGAATGCTGCGACGAACTGAAATCGCAAGTACCATCTGCAAAAAATTAGCGGCGAGCCTTGCGTTCTCGCTACGCTGCCATAGCCCTAACCCAAACGCCAACAACGAGCGTGTGATGCACGTTCTGCAAGCTGGGCTGGGTTCCACTCAACCGGACGCCCCGAACTTCACGGTCTCATGCTACACCTAAGGCACCGACAAACGCCCCTTCCCGTTTGTGGCCGCCGCCGGTGGCGTCGGCCTCCAGGCCGCGTCGGCGCCCCTCTGGAAGTAGAAGAGCATGTAGGCCTCGCTGGACAGGACCTCCTCCTCTTCCACCTCGTGCACCCACGTGTCGTCGAACCGGAACCAGCGGCCGATCTCTTTCACGAACGCCGTGTAGTGCCCCTTCGCCATACCGCCCGAGTGGTTCACCACCGCCAGGAGGTCGTAGGGCAGGGACGGCGCCGGCACGTCGCCCGAAAGCTCAGCCTTTGCGCTTGCCGCGGCCGGGGTGGCGTCGGGGGGGGAGCTCTTTGCTGTCCCGGTATCCAGAGGCGGCGAAGAAGACGGGGATGCTCCGGAAGCCACCCCTCCCGCGCTCGACGAGGCCGCAGCTGCCGGCCAGCCGGTGAGGTACTTGCCCATGTCCAAGCCTCTGGCTGGGAAGCTCACGAAGTCCTGGGGAGAAGAAGGAAGGCATGGCATCGGGAGCGCTGAGAGGCGCGGCAGAGGGAAGCCAGCGACAAAGGGACCTGTTTATTTTGCATCTACACCGCAGCGCTACAAGACCCAAGCCCCCGGCGAGACATGTCCCCCCTCGCAGAGATAACGGCCAAACTCTGCACGCCACAAAAATGGAACCATCGTGTGTCCTCCCAAGGGTGCCTATAACCTCCCCATCCTCCTCGCCACGCCTCCTCACTCGCACGGGCATGTTTTTGAGACCTGTTTGCGTGTGGGCCTCTAAGTCTATCCGTCAACACGCGGTTCCGCTCGCACACGGATCAGGCAACTCGCCACCCTAAAAAACTTACGTCAATTTTTCTGTCGGCCATGGCGTCAAAGCGCTTTAGGTGCAGGACGAGCACCCGAGGGAGCGAGCAGAACGACATCTGCTTGGTCTTGCGCACGGACGCGGCCGAGCACGAGTCGCACGCCATGCGCACGGTCAAGCTCTCCCTCGCCGCGAACCTCGCGAAGCAGTCGGTGATGCTCCGGGCCGGTCCCGTCGCAACGCTCCTGCTCTTGCTGCCGCCGCGTCTCCCCCCGCCTGCTCTCCTGGGAGAGGGCGATGCCCTCCGCTTCTCCTCCTTGACGGCCGCGGCGGCCGGTTGCTGCTGGTTCCGGGTCGGCGACGCCCTTCCCCCCCCTGCGTCTAGCGCGGCGGCGGCGGCGGCGGCGCTCGAGAAGCGACCGCTTCCGTCGTCAGAAAAAGTCGCGGACCCCGGGGATACGCGGCCGGTGCTTGGCGTCGTTGCCTGCGACGCTTCGCTCGGCGGCGGGTCGTTGTCCTTGCAGGTGCCGCCGCCGGCGCAACTCCCTGCCGGGCTGCTCCTTCCCGATGATGGGTCGACCTGTTGTTGCCGAGGCTGTGCCGAGCTAGAAGTAGGGGTGGCGGGCCGTGGTGCGTTGGCCGGTGGTGCCGGCGCCCTTTGTACCGACAGGGGTAGCGAAGATGACGCGGAGGACAGAGATGACAAGGAAGGCAAAGAGGCGGAGGAAGGGGAGGTGGCCGTCACCCCAACACCACCGCTGTTGGGGATCTCGGTCGCGGAGGCGACGTCGTCTGCAACCCCTAAAATCGCCGCCGCCTTCGCCGGCACCCCGCCACCGTTCTCCGTTCGCGCCGTTGAGCTAGGCGCAGAACATCCCGCTACCCGGTTTTCCTGCACGCGTCCCTGCGTCTGTTCCGCCCCTTGCTTCTTCTCCTGCTCGAGCTTCTCCTGCTCGAGCTTCTCCTGCTCGAGCTTCTCCTGCTGTTGTTGTTGCTGCTGCTGACGCCTCTCATGTTCACCGGGGCGTACTGGAAGCGACACCTCGAGGAAACGCTCATACGTGCACGAAACATCCCCGCAGGCGGTGCACACGACGTCCGAACGAGTGACCCCGGCGAAAACCTCCTGGACGAATCCAGACAGGTTAAGGTCCTCCAGACACTGGCCGTTCAACATACTCCCATTCTTGGCAGTGGCATTGCCAACCTTAGCTCTTGCCGACGCCCCTTCCTCTTCTTCCCCTCCCCATCGGTCTTTTGTCCACACATTTTCGCCGCCGTTGTAGCCACCTCCCCCGTCCGTAGTCGCGCGAGGCGGTGCGTTTCCGCTTGACGGAAAGGATGACAAAGACGCCGAGAAACCGTTCGTGTGCTCAGATTGCGCGAACATATCGCCACCACTGTCACCATTGGGCTGCCATTCCGACGTAGCGGGATGCTGGGCACCGTTTTCTCCTTGCCAGCCTGTAGCAAAAGGGTGTCCCGGGGGTGCGCAACCCCTCTCGTGGCTGTCCCCGCTGTTGCGGCCTCCAGGTAACGGTGGCCGGCTCTCCCACCCGGACGCAGTAGCGGCAGCCGCCTCCGGCGCCACGCCGCTAGCGCTCCGGCTGCGTTTACGGCTGTTTTTTGCCGTCTCGCCTTCACCCTTCCCTCCTCCGGCTGCTGCCTTCGCCGCGGCCTTTGCCGCTTTTGCCGCCGCTGCCGCCGACAGCGACTGCTGCTGCGTCGTGCCCCCGCTGCTCTTGACGCTGCCGTTTTGCTTTCCCGCCTTCTTCGGCTGGTGCTGCTGCTTCTGCTGCTTCTTTGGCGGTTGAGACGGCAGCTGTCCCTTCAACTCTTGGGCCGTAGCAGCCGTCGCCGCCGCCGCTGCCGCTGCAGCAGCCTCCTGCTTCTTCTGCTTCTGCTTGGCGCGCAGCTTGTGGGCCGCCAGCGTGCGCCGAAGCACCGGTGCGTTCAACTCTTCCCTGGCGGCGCGGTCTAGGTGCCCGTGGAGGCTGTCCAGCACGGCGATCAAGAACTCGTGCGCGTCCTGCTGCTCGTATCCGGCCAGAAACTCCGACGCGCTCCACACGGCCTCGAGGAGCCGGTGGGGCACGTAAGGCTCCGTGTCTCCGAGCGTAGCGGCGGCGGCTGCGAGAGAAGAAAACGGGCGTTGAGTGTAGAGGGGAGGGCAGATTTTGAGAGAGTGTCCATCAAAAGATACCCAGAAGCAGCCAACGAAACAATGTATTGCGTGGGACAGAGAACCCAGAGAGATGAGTTGGGTGACGTACTACTTTCGCGAGTGGAGACACAACCACGACTGTCTGACGGCGGGCTAGTGTCCTTGGTTCACCTTCTGTCGAGAACATGTCATGAAATAGCCGGGCAAGCTCGCACGCGATGCAGTACTCCCCGATTTTCTTGGCAATCGTCATCTTCTCCGAATCCTTCCCCAGTCCCCCCGCACCGCCTCCGCCAGCTCCCGGATGACTATCAAACGACGCGTTGGAGTCGTACTGAAGGATCTGCGAGCGCAGCTTGGTGGTCTCCTTGCGGAGTTTCTCGCAGCGAGCCGGCTCGTGGCCTTTGTCGGAGAAGAACGACTGCATCACAGAGATGTGGAGCACCGCCTGCGATTTTAATGTCGTCGTTTCGTTTTGCGGCATGGTGCGAGGGCAGGATGTGAATAGCAGGCACCCCGGTGAAATACAACAAGCGGGACCCCGTGTCGGGGGTAGGGGTGAGGGAAGAGCGGCAACCAGCTTGTGCTATACAAACACTCATTGGACGCAAAATAACGTCCACCATCCCGTCATCAGTACACGAGTATGGCCATGGAAAATACGATGTTGTACCCGAGATCACGGCCATCCACAACCAACCGGCACCCTTCTCCCCCGGGACGATCAAGCGCAAGACCAAAACCGACAACGCACCTGCAGCACAGAGCTCATGAAGCAAGTGTTCCCGAGGTTGAACATACCCCTCACACCGGCAGCGACCAGTCGGCTTCTCGCCGGCGACAGGAGCACCGGCGGCGGCGACGCCCGCTCCTTCCCTGCCGGCTGCTGCTGCTGCTGCTGCTGCTGCTGCTGGGTGGGCTTACCTCCTGACACCCGGTAAAACCCGTCCCCGCGCGCGCGCCGGCGCCGGCGCCCGCGGACGCAGGCATCCCCGTCCCTGGCGCTACCACCGCCGGCCCCCCAGTCGCTGCCCTTGTCCCACTCCGTGTGCAGGCCGAAGCTGTCGTCGACGCGAGACACGGCGGTGTCGAACTCCACGTCGTAGACGTAGTCGCAGCACCGCGCGCAGAAGATCTCGGCGCGCTCACGGCTGGCGGCGAAACAGTGGCCGTCCCCCGGCTGGGTGAGGCAGTGGCGGAGCATGTGGCGGCGGGGGGGGGATCCGCACGCGGTGTAGCCGCACTCTAGGCAGGTGAGCACGTCGTCGGGCTCGTGCAGGGTGTGCTCGTCGCACTCGTGGCACTGACATCATGGCGTCGTCCGGAGGGGATGGGAGAGGGGGGGGGGGGGGGGGGGGGGGGGGGGGTGTACTCATAGTCGTGCATGCCGTAGTCG